CTTATATAATTATTAACTACTTGTTTAAAAGTTTAAGATAAAATAAATAGATAAATAGGTAAATTATTTAAAGTCATATTAAAAAACAAAAGATTATTAAATTATTTTTATTTATTTATATATTTTTGTAAACTTGTAGTTTATGCAATTTAAAAGTTCTTATATTGACATTTTAGTTTTCTTTTCTCTATAGTTTTAATTGATCTTATTGTAATTATTCTTTAAACTATCATTTACTTCAATCATACTGCAATATAAACTACAATTGAATATAATTTGATAGCTTAATCACAGATCAATCTGCCTACAAAATGATACAAATATGAACTTGTAATCTTACTTAGTTATGCCAATTTAAAACATTATTACATAGTTAATAAAAGAAAACACAATTATATTGTAATTAATGATGTAAATAAGATTACTTCTATAATTGTAACCAATAAAAATAGATGTTAGAGAAAAATTAAATCATCAGTTTAAATTGACATATGTTATGTTCCAATTAGTATAAATTTTAAAATAACATATATCAATTTAAAATTGATATAAGTCATAAATTGATATATAACATATACAGTAAATAATTTATTACACAAAAATAATATATTTTTAAAATCTAACTCAGTACTAGAGTTGTGATCCATAAATTACAATATATATAAATAAATTGTAGTTTATCATTATTGTAAAATTAGTTTTAAAATAAACTACAATTTATTTTATATACAGTATTGTAATTCACAGATCACATCTCTAATGTACAGTTGGCACCAAAACTTTATCATAGGTACACAAAAATACAGTAATATACAAACTCTTAATATAAAAAAAAATTACTAGATCCAGCCAAAATCCATCTTATATTAAACTTTCTTATATAAAAAACATAAATTTTTAACTAAAACTGGTAAAAATTTTCTTATACCAAAAACTTCTTATATCAAAGGTTTTCTATATCGAGAGTTACATATATATAAATAAATTTGAATGTAGAATTTACTTATTTTCCATCATGATACAAGTCATACATATGCAAATCATATGATAGCAGATCATTAATTTTAATTACTAATTATTATTTATATTAGTCAATAAAAAAAGATATATATATATAATGATAAGACCTTTGAATTTTTAGTTAATAATAAAATAATTAATAATTAGTTAATAATAGTTAATAATTTTGGTAATTGTTAAAAATTAATATGCAATAATTGCAAATGATATATAATTGTTAGTACTTATTGACAGACTATTTACTTGACATGCATGTAGCAATTTAACATTCTATTAGTTATAGGTATATATTTTATTTAATTATCATTAAACATAATGTAAAATAAATAATCTGTTAGTGAAATACTGTAATTAGCAACAAATAATTAGTAAAGAATTGTAATTGTTTAATTATATATAAAAATAATAACATCAATAAATAAATACTAAATTTGTTAAAAAATTTTAAATTACTAATATTCAAATGTTATCTTAATGCAAATTTGGAAAAAAAAACAACCAATTTGGTGATAGTTCAAGAAAGGTGATAAGCTTAATAGTTTACATTATTTGGCTTAATATGATTTTTGCAAAACAAATTGTTTCAGTAAATTCTTAAAAATAAAAAAACATTTATTAAAGAAGTGCAAAGATATTAATCAAGATAAACATGATAGTATTAGTAATATTTTAAAAAATATAAAAATAAAAAAGTTAAACATAAATAACTCACTGTTTCAAACTAATATTAATGATAATACAGACATAAATAATAAACAAAAAATTAAATCAGTTACATTATCTATTAGAGAAAAAGCATCTATTAATTGTTAATTGCTTAAAGCATTAATTTTAACCAATGCACTATTATCATTTGTACAAGATGTTGAAGTAATTAAATTATTTCATATATTAAGATCTGAATATAAGCTTCTGTCTTGTAAATAAATAAGTACAAATATATTGAACAATATATATAAAAACATACAGTGTAATATTTAATGCTTTATATTTAATTTAATGTTTTTAACATTATCTGGTAACAGTTGGATGAATATTTCAAAAAATAGTATACTAAATTTTATTGTAATAAATAAAAAACATAAAAATTAAAATTTTAAAATAGATAATTATTCTAATTTACATCATATAGGTAATAATATATTTAAAATATATAAAGAAGTTGAAATAAATCTTGGTTTAAACAAATAGATAACATTTATTTTAGATAGTAGGTCTGATTTCAAAAAGGCACTACATCTTATACATAAGGTAAATACAGTAATTATTATTTTTTTTATATAAATAGTATTAATTCTATTGTAATATGTATTATAGGATTATTGTCTTAATAATAAAATTTTAACAATTTTATGCATAGCATATCAAATTAACTTGTTGGTTAAAAAGATAGTCAAATCATCTTTTTTTAAATCTGTTATTAAAAAGATGTTAATAATTATTAACTATTTTTGAAATTCAAATATTATATTATTTTAATTAAAAGAATTAACTTCTAATGAAACTTTAAAGCCTCAATATCTATATATTACCTATTGAACAACATATACAAAAGTATCAGAAACTATATTACAAATACAAACAAGTTTGAAAATAAATTTTAAAAATATATTTTTAATAGTTATTATTTGTAATACTTGTATTTAGAAATGTATACTGGGTTTGCTTCTAAATTACCAAGTTTTGATATAATGTAACATGATTAGAAAGATTCAAAAAATATAATTGCTCTGTCAAAAATTAGCATAACTCAAAAATTAGTATAATAAATTACCTTTTACACTTTAGTCAATTTTTTTGTTGAACAATTTTACTACTATTTCTTTTTATCTAATTCTTAATCTTAACTTTAACTATATCAAATTTTAAGAATTTTGTTTGTATTACATATCTAGTAATATTTTTTAAGTGCATTATATTATATTAACATATAGTTTATACTTATAATATTTTAGATTATTATGCTTATGCATTCATCTTATCTAATTTTACAAGAAAATAATCTTATTGGCATTATTAATAATAATGAATTCTGAATAAATCTTAAATTATTTTATACATTAATAAAACTGTATGATTATATTATAAAAATTCTTGAAACTAAAACAGCTACATTGGGTCAAGTAGCTGCATCATGGGCCTGGCTTTGTGAAACTATTTGTAAAAGCTCACTTACTAATAATAATTTTCAAAACTCATTAATTCTTGAAATTGATAATCATTAAAAAAAAATTTATAATTTGGTTTATTTAATTACATAGTTTCTTCATCTATATCATTATAGTAAAGAACTAAATCCAATGTGGTTTTTATATATTCAAGAAACTGCATACAGCTTATTTTGTTCTTTTTATCTAGATCATAATTAGGATAAATTTATTGATGAATAGTTAAATTATATAAGTCAAGAAGATCAATTTTTAGCATCATTAATTCAAAATCCAAGCTTTACAAGATTTTTACTATAATACTGGCATACTATGCTTTATATAACACCAAATTTAAGTGAATTTGCCTGTTGTCTTTTGTCAATTCTATCTAATTTTGCAACTTCTAAACAGGTATAGTCCTTATTAGGTAATATATATACAAAATATCATAATTGATTATCCCTATTACAGAATGCAAAAATGGCACAAGTATCTTGATATATAAGTCAAAAATCTAATCCTATTAAAAAAAAATTAAAATTTTAAAAAACTTACTTTAAATAATAATAACAATGACAATAAAAATAATAATAATGATGAAAATAGTAATGATGAAAATGAAGGTGATGATATAGATAAATTTATAACTAATTTAAATCAAATATCTGACAAATTAATAAATGATATTCATATATATAATTTAACTAGTAAAGAAACTATTCCAATACTCAAAAATATTTTTTATTCAAAAAGCATTGAAAAATTATTAAATTTTTATATTTAACAAGTATATATATAGAAAATTTTTTAAATTCAAATCTTAGTAGTTATGAGTTTATTTCAACTATATTAATAAACATAAATATTAGCTATTAATAAATTCATAATATTTTGCAAGTTTACTTTTATTAAAGTAATAGTAAATTCATTTTATCAAAAAAAAAAATTGTAAAATAAAATTTCATCAGTTTATAATTTTAACATTTTACTTATAATAAAATTTAATCTGGACAATATGGTAAAAAAATATTGTACTAAAGTATTAACAACTTTTATATACTTGATACAAATTAGTTGTATTCTATATTAACTTGATACAAATTAACTGTACTATACATTATTAAGTAGTTTTTAGTTAATAACTCAGAGCAATTGTTAATAATTATTATTAATTATTAATAATGTAGAAGGTTCTATCATTATATATATAGTAAAATTTTAAAGAAATTTAACTCAAAGTGAATTTTTATTTTATATAAATTCATTATCTAATACATATAATAAAGATGCCAGAAGAACTTATAAATGATAAAGAAATATGTGTAAATGACTTTTTTATTGTGTTTGATTATTTCACAGAAACTCTTCATAATAATTTGATTTTTAATAATCTTTTTCTGCCTAATGCTACTTTATTTATACATGAAGGTGTTTAGCATAATAAAATTTTTTGAGTACAGAATATGTTGTTTCATTAAATACTGATTTTGAAAAATAAATTCATGATTTTGGTTATAATATTTATACAAATTATATATAAGAAAGAACTAAATATAATGCTAGAAATGTTAAATTTTGATATACTTACAAGTGTTATTATTCAGAAAAATATAAAGCCAAGCAGATCAAAATTCTATAAAAAAGCAAGAATTATTCAAAAAGATTCAAAAAAAATTGGCTGTGAATCTATGATTATAATTACTAAAATTAAAAAATCAGCCTCAAATGATTATTAAATATACCTCTCATTCAAATCATACTTCAAGTAGTGACAATAATATTGGAATACTTAGACTTTCAAAACAAATTCAAAATTACATTGTGCAATAAATGCATAATAGTTTAGATTTTAAAGCAATTAGTCAATTTTTTAGAAAACAAGCACATAATTTAGATAAAATTTGGAATCAATATAGCAATCTAAAAGCAATTCAAATCTGTAATCATCTTATTACTAGTGATGATATATATAATATATGGAAAGAAGTAATTAAAGAAGATCAAATTTTGCATAAAATTGAAGAAGTAAGTCTTAATTTATAGTATCATAAGCTTTTAAACAATAATGGTTTAACTTGTAGTATAGCTTAATCAGAAAGTAATAACAATGAGGATAAAAAACAACTTTTAGATTTTATAATTCCAATTACAAAAGAAATAATTTATAAAGTTAATACAGTTTTACTTGATGCAACACATGGCACTAATAAAAAAAATAATCAATTTTATACTTTTCTTTTACCTAATTTTAAAACTAAAAAAGAATTACCTTTTGCATATTTTATTTCTTCTTGTAAAAATATTACATCTGTGCAATTTTGGTTATATTGTCTTCATATTTAATTGTTATAGAAGGGCCTAATATCTTTTAGTTGCCTGTAATCCTGCACAGATCAAAGCTTTTTGAAATATTTTTTCAAAAACCGGAATTTTTTTGTGCTAATGACATGTTCTTAGAGCCTAGCAAGATAACTTAAAAAAAGTCTATATTGAAAAAGCAAATACAGTATTAAATAATAAATTAAGTACTAAAATAAAAAAAAATTAAAAGAAGAATTATGAAATAATTTAAGAAAATTAATGTATATTGATAATTATAGAAATGTTGATAAATTTATTAATAATTTTTTAAACAAATAATCAAGTTCAATATCATTTATTTTATATTTTAAAAAACAATGATTAAATGAATTAAATAATAATTATAGAATTGACAAAACAATGTGGATTAAGCATATTGACTAGATGTTCCTTATGATAATCTCAATACTACAAATATGTTAGAATCATAGCATTGAAAGCTTAAATATAATATTTTTAATAGAAAGCCTAACTGATATAAAGATGTTCTTATTCATAAATTATATATTAATAGAAATAGTAATGCTTAATAATAATGAAGATTAGCTGAAATTTATACAAGCAAAATAATACTAGCAGAACAAGAGATTCAAAAATATAAACAACAAGCACAAAATTTAATTCAAAATATAACTAAAATATTAGTTAGTTGATATTAGATAGTTTCATCTAATACAAATTTAGGAACAAATTATTTAGTTGAAATGAATGCAGAATTTCAAGGTCAATTTGAAAGAGAATTTATTTGTACTTGTAATGGTTTTTAAAGTTGATTACTTTCTTGCAAGCATATTTATACTATTATATTTTATTATTTTTTAAACAATTAAACTTTTATACAATAATTACAACTACAATCACATTTACAATCTTAACAATTACAATCAAAATCTCAATTGCAATTGCAATTTAATTCATCACACAAATAGCAACAACTTCTTAACGAAATTCAACAAATAACTGAAAGTTTAATTAATCTTAATACTTATAGTTTACAAATTGTTTGCATCTAGCTATTACAAGTTTTTCAAGAGGTTCAAAATGTAGATAAATTTTGTGCTAATAATTGAATTAAAGAAAGTGAAAAAATAAAATTTTCTTCACATATAAATATTAAAAAACAAAGAAGATAATATTACATTAAACAACATAATTTTATATACAATACTTATTCTGCTAATATACTACAAGAAAAAATTGTATTCAACAATGCAAATATAAATAAAAAAATGTAATAATAAGAATTTCTAATTATTACAATTTTTTTTTTTTTTTTTGCTTTTTAAAAAAACTCTTTCCTGTTCACACCAGATCGGGAAAGGCGAATAAAAAACAACAATCATAACCTTGACAAAAAGAAACCAAAACTTATCAAATAAGATACTAACAAGGGCCAGAGCCCTTGTCCCAAGAAAAAGAAAGC